CCACATCGGCGTGGCGGATCTCGTTGGATCCGTCGATTCGGTCGGCGGGGAGGCGTCTGGCAGCGGAGATCCAACATGGATGCACTTGGCGACGATGACCTATAGGCGGAGGCACCCGGCTTGGCCGCTGGTCGCGAGCGTCCAGGCACATGGATGTGGGGAGAGGATTAGTTGCAGATGAAAAGGAGGAGAGGAGAAGAGGCATCCTCCGCCGATCGTCGGCGGCAACTTTCCTCGCGTGTGCTCGGTCTACAAGAGATCATTTGTTTCGGTCAAGCCAAGGGCCAGTTGCAAGAGCTATATATATACTAGGATAGAGATTGCTTTTGAGTCATTCGATCCAAATCCAAATCATATCCGACCGCCATGAACGAGGTCAACGCACGCACAAAGATCCGCCGGTTGAGCGATAGCGTTTTCCAAGGGGGCTGCTACATGTCGGCCGGCGGATCTTTTTAAAAGATCCGTTGCCTCGCGAGCCGTTGGATGGCGAGTTTCACATCCATCTGATCTCCTCTAGTAGCTGTATTATTTTGCGACAATGAGCACGTTGCACAAGTCCTTTTGCAACACAACCTTAGTTGCAATTCTTTGCAAAAGGGACAATGTGGCAAAAAAATATTTTGCAACACAGACGATGTTGCGAAGCCCACAAATAACTTAAAAATTCTTTTGCAACAGGAACGTTGTTGCAAATTTTCTTTTGCAACAGGATCCTCATTGCAAGAAACATCTCTGCTAGTGCCCCGTCACCGTTGCAACCCTTCTGACAATTGCACAGGGGTCTTGTTGCAAAAGTGTGTTGCACATCATGTGGGGGGCGCGTGGTGCAACGTGGAGGTGGCCGACGCCCAGCACGTTATCCGCCGGCTGAGCCATATCGTATTCAATAGAAAAACCTAGTTTATCATGACAATCATTTGTTGGACGCGTAGTCGCACTCACGGATCTTCCAAAGAGCATGTGAGACAAAAATACGAGCTGTCAAGTGCTGTATTTTTGGTGGTAGTATGAAGTATCTGTTTCTGCTTGGCTCCGCACGTTCATGGGAACTAGAGCAAATTAAGCTACTGCATGTGACTGTTCAGACAGACAGATATTAGTACCAACAAACGCCCAAACCAGAGGACCTACTATAAGCCAATGCTACATAGCGGGACTCGCATCACTCTCCTCAACCTCTGCCCAGCACAAACGGATCGATTAGCTAGCATGAACAGAAAGGCGGTGTGCATCTCGCTTGTGATCCTCGCGCTTATGCTGCTCGCCGGCCCAGGCGCGAAGGCGGCGGCGCTCTCCGGTGACACTGCCAGCGTCGACGCGGTGCGGCAGCTGATGGCGACGTCGTCGTCGCCGATGAGGCTGGGGGACGTCGTGGCGCCGGAGCTGGTGGTGGTATCCACCGTGGTGGACCTCGGGGTGCACCGGCGCGTCCTCGCCGGCATCGACCCGGGGCCACTGAACGGCAACAAGCAAGCCTGCAGGCCCAAGTGCGCGCAGCCCGGACAGCCCAACACCGGCCGGAACTGCCTCAAAATTTACCGGTGCCCAGGAGGAAACTAAGCGGGACAGCACCACGGACGTCGACTCAACCTCCTGGAGCAGCACCGCACCTCGTCCGTCCATGGGTGCATGCGCTCGCGTTCCATCTTCTATTTGCGTTTCCATTTTGCGATTCAGTACGTACCGCGTCGTCGTTGCTATAGCTATGTATTCCCTCCGTCCCAAAATATAAATGTATCTAATACTAAAACGTGACCTGATACATCCGTATTTAGACAAATCTAAGTGGAGTGGCAGTGCTTCTCTTAATTTGGCTAAGAATGACAGCATATCAAGTTGGAACGGGCATATCATATGGCTTGAGAAATGTCCACACGGCGGCAGCATGCATGCATGCATGCTGACGTCACTCATAATTGGGGTCACAAGACCACCTCCACTCAGACCAACTAACAAAGAATAAAAAATCCAGAAAATAATTTTATCAAATGGTTTGTCGCAATACTTTTTTTTAAAAGTGAGGTTGAGTTATATTAAACTCAGGCAAGAAGACGGAAATACGTTCATGCTATCAATTCCGTATAGTTTGTCTTTTATTGGTTTTGTTTTTTCGCTCGACCGTATGTATTCTCTCTTCTCTATTTCTATTTTTTTGGTACGTCCACATGCAGACCTTTTGTCATGCTCTATTTCTTAGAGTAAGTATAATATGATAATGTAAGTGGAAAACTCAAAACGGTGCCCGGGCTCATCTGCTCCCTCTCAGTAAAAAATTCAAAAAAAATACTAGCAAAATTCAAAAAATTCCAATTTTTTGTGGTGGTAGATAATTTGACGCGTGAGGTGCGCCCCAAAATTCAACTCATTTGGACATCTGAGCAGCTCTCGGCAAAAAAGATAAATCGGGTCAAAACAGTGCGTGAACAGTATACATTTTTACAGACCCTGATTTTGTCTTTTTTGCCGAGAGCTGCTCAGATGCTCAAATGAGTTGAATTTTGGGGCGCACCTCACGCGTCAAATTATCTACCACCACGAAAAATTTTGGAATTTTTTGAATTTTTTTAGTATTTTTTTTTGAATTTTTTTCTAAGCGTGGGTGCAGATGAGCCCGGGTGCAGCTTAGCCGCACTCTAAGTAAGTGGGCTATAAGGATTCGAATATTATATTGTTTCTGAGTTGGAAGAGAAAGAAGAGGGCAAAGAAAAGAAGCGGGCTATAAATTTACAGCCGGCTATAGCACATGCTTCAAGAAACTACGGGCGTGTTTGGTTGGGTGGCTCGCACTTGGCCCGCACCAGGCATGCAAAATTCAGCCCGTTTGGTTTCCTGCGCGGGCTCCTTAGCCTGGCCCGACTGATGCAAATAAAGGTCTCTCAGCCAGGCTGAGAGGAACGCGAAAATCGAGCGTATCGCTGATGCAGCCTCGAGCCTCCACCCACGCCTTCCACTTAAAACGAAACGGTACGTGCTATTGACTATGATGTTTTCCGGAATTACTTCGGAACTGCCACCGTAGCTCCCCTTACTCTCTTTCCTCTCCTCACGCATTAGATTTAGAGATTGGATCGATGCACATCAACCAGTCGCTGCCGCCGCCGGAGGGAGCTCCTTCTTGCACCGCCGGTCCGAGCTCCCTCGCCCCCTCAACCCCGCCAGCGGAGCTCCCTCTTTCTCCACCGGTCTGAGCTCCATCCTCCGCCGTGACCCCGCCGCCGGGCATCCATGCTCCGCCGCCCGCCGGCGTGTGATTTGCAGGGGCTGCATTGGATGGGGAGACGCGCCTGTGCCGGCTCGACACAACCGTCTGCGATTACGGCGGCGTCATGGGGCACTGGTGGTGTAGGCTCAGGCAGATGACGGGCTTGGCAGAAAATAATTCCGTCATGGTTGTGCTTTGGGAAAGTACATGGCAATTTCTCGTATAGTCTAGCAAACAACTTCTCACATTGGCCCGCCCCACAGTATGCACACAACCAAACATACATCTCAATTCTTTTTTGCACCAGCTTGGCCAGGCTAGACACAGCCAGGATGGTGCACACGATGCAGCGTTAAGCTATGCAAGGAACCAAACACACCCTACATGAGTGTGGAATGTGGATCATATGTTACTAATAAAGTAATACTCTCTTGTAGCTAACTATTATGTGTCTTAACTATTACATTGGCTCTAGATGACATAACAACATGCTATAGCCAATAGCTGGCTATATTATTAACCATGCTCTAAGGTTGGCGATAGTGGTGGGTAACTTAGACTAGTAACATGTTACTAATTTCATAACGGGTAGTTAACATAGATAAATTAGTTTGAATGCCCTCATCATATTTTAGGCTCTTTTTGATAATTGGCAGATTATCACATGCTTCTTTTGTAAGATTGGCATGATGGGTCATCTGGTGGGCGCGTAGGAAGACAATTCATGAGGAGATCTTTTAGAGCCCATCAGCCACACATCTATTCATCCGTGGATTCATTGAAGAATTGAATATGGATCAAGTGAGCACTAGAACCACTGTGGTATCATCTGGTGGGAGCGTAGGAAGACAATTCATGAGGAGATCTTTTAGAGCCCATCAGCCACACATTTATTCATCTATGGATTCATTGAAGAATTGAATATGGATCAAGTGAGCACTAGAACCACTGTGGTATCGGGCAGAGTAGTGGCGAAACCAAAGGCACCTTCACTAGGTTTCATAAAAAATACATGTGGACGCAGCCACGGCAAGGAGTCAGGCGAGGGGCTCAGCGGCGGCTGTATGCCGAGATTTAGAGGGGAACTATATGGGCAGTTCCTTATTGGTAATTCATGGCATAAATGATGCAACAACTTTGAAGGCTATTGCTTGTTGAGAGATGTTATCCCTCGCAGAGGATCTTATGCTTCAAAACTTTATTGTAGCTTTAGATTCTAAGCAGATTGTCAAGGATTTAGAGGAAGGAGCCACAAAGTATATGGAAATATCATTAGTGAGATTAATAGGAGGTCTTAAATGTTTAATTGTACTTTTTCCTTTGAAGGCCGAGACGCTAATAGCGACGCTGATAGGTTAGCCAAGTTTTGACATCCTCTCAACTAGGGGCGACATGTCTGGTTGGTCCATCCCCATTGATCCTTTATGTATCCTACATCACGTGGAATTTGAGCAATAAATAATGGTGATACCCCTAAAAAATTGTAGATGCAATGCAGGTGAGAGATCTATGTCAGAACCTAAGCAGAGCATGATTTTAACTAAAGGTGTTCCATCGATCGGGTTCTCAGACAGAACAAACAAGGCACCTCCGTCACCTAAACCTTCCATGGAAGCAACCAGTTAGGGTAACGGGAAGCAACATAAACAATTATTGGGCGGGTGCTCCTAGCTGCTAGCGGCTAGATTGGGCCATGAGAGCTGCCTGACACCAAATTAACCTCGATGTATTACAAATCGGTGCACTCCCCCCACGGTTGCCCATCACAAACGGATCGATTAGCTAGCCAGCTACCATGGACAGAAGTGTGTGCATCACTCTCGTGATCCTTGCGCTTGTGCTCGCTGGCCCGGACAAGGGGGCCGCGGCGGTCTACAGCACCGACCAGGGGGGGATGCCAACGTCGTCGTCGTCGATGAGGCTGGAGGACGGCGTGGCGCCGGAGCTTGGGGCGGTGACGGTGGTAGATCTGGGCATGCACAGCCGCGTCTTCCTCAGAGGTCAAGTCAACGGTAAAGGCCTGGACCCCAACCGCCCAGTCTGCCCCCACAGTCCGTGCGCGCCCCCCGGACAGCCGTACATCCGGGGATGCAAAAAGATTTACGGCTGCGGTTAATGAATGGACCAGCACTACGTACGGGCGTCGACGCAACCTCCTTCCTGCCCGGCGTCCGTCCATGGGTGCACTCGCGCGCATCCATGTTCTTTTTCCATTTCCATTCTGCATTTCGTACTATTGTTGCTATTGATATATACTCCCTCCGTTCCAAAATAGCATCCATGTTCTTTTTCCATTTCCATTTTGCATTTCGTACCGTTGTTGCTATTGATATATACTTCCTCCATTCCAAAATAGATGACTCAATTTTATATTAATTTAAATAAAGTTAATACAAAGTTGAGTCATCTATTTTGAAACGAAGGGAGTATATATCTTAAAATAAGTTTCTTTAAAGGAAACTTTTGTTATCATCTCCCGGCGGGCACCAGCATCTAGAGCATGCACACTGGTGATTTGTGAAGTGATTCCGACTGATGAACGGGAAGTCAACGTTATCTTAAGTCTGGTTTGTGAGCAATACGTACCGCCTTAGCACAAGAATACTGTATTTGAATTATGATGGTATTGGTACGATTCTTTTCTTGGTAATGCATTGTAGGCTTCTTTCTATTAATCTGGCCATCGCCCGTCGCATCAGGCTGATAAACCTGCGCAAGAGTTTAATATGGGCGTCAGAATACCCGAAATCATTAATTAAAGAGTATTCCTTGCAGAGATCACTTCAATTTCTCAGGTTGCGACAAGTGGCGCGCTGCATGTGCGCCACTTATCGCAACCTGAGAGTTTTTTCTTTTTTTCGTAGATCCTTTTATTCAAAACATTTTATCTTTTAAACCGTGCGTCCAAATCTTGAACCGCTTTCGCCATTGGATTCCACGCGTCGAGATCTTCAAAACTAGATCCCATGTTGATAGGTTTTGATAAACTTTTTTTTCACAAAAAGAAACCGGATGAAAAACCGAACCGGGAGCACGGATTTTTTTCCCTTTCCGAAAGAGGCACGGCCGTGCCTCTGACGAAATCACAACCGTGCCTCTCGCGGAAGCAAAACCATACCTCTTGCGAAAGAAAAAAATAACAAAAAATGCGTTTTTTGTTACCCAGGAGGCACGGCGTGACTCTCGCGAAAGCACAACCGTGCCTCTCGCGTAAGCAAAACTGTGCCTCTCGCGAAAGAGAAAAAAACAAAAAAACATGTTTTTTTTTTGTTTCCAAGAGGCACGGCCGTGACTCTCATGAAAGCACAATCGTGCCTCTCGCGAAAGAAAAAAATAGAAAATATGATTTTTTTTTCCGTTTTCAAAAGGCACGGCCGTGCCTCTCGCGAAAACAAAACCGTGACTCTCGTGAAAAAAATGCGTTTTTTGCGTAATTTTCTTTTTCGAAAAAACAGTTTTGGTCGAAAAGATAGAAAAAACCGGTAGAAAACCAAAACGTCAAAAAACCCAGAAAAAACCGTTTAAATATCCAAAAACACGTGCGGAAAAATAAAAAAAAACAAAATCCGGAGGGAGCGCCCAAAGCGCGACACGTGGCAAATGGCTGACATCGCGCCAATGGCGCTGATCGTTGCGAGGCTCCCAAAGGAGCGCTCGTTAATTAGTTGCTCCCCAAAATACCAAGCTTTTACACGAAGTGCACAATAAAAAATATCATCGAAAGTACAAAACAAGGATGAGCAAAAACTACGGTGGAGCAGCCACAGTCTTGAAGTTTTGACAACATCCGGCACGCCATCGCCACTCATCTCTTCGGTCCCGCTCGCTCGCGAACAACATAACGAGGCAGGTGCTAGCTAAGGAAACCAAAACATTTTTTTTTGAACGGCCACAACACTAGTAGAAAACATGCCATTCGTCCGAAGCATGAGTCCTGGACGGATTTTGGACGACTAATGGGGCCATTAGTCTCGGTTCCAACGGCTAGGAGCGAAAAATGCCACGGTCACCTCTAGTCCCGATTCCCGGTTGGTATCACAAACCGGGACTAGACCTCTAGTTCCGGTTTGTGTCATCAACCAGGACTAAATATATCCCTATATAAATCCTTCGCCCAGCCTGAGTTCAAGCATTCTCCTTTCTCTCCTCTCTATTTTCTTCCCCTAGCTCGAGCTCATCCTCCATTGTTGCCAAGATTTGTCAAGATTTGAAGCACCCTATCTATCCAAGTGTTCAAAAGGTTATCAACTTTGTCCTTTCATCTCTCGTTGCTAGTTTAGCTCGTTTCATGCTCTATAAGTATAGTCACTTGTGGGTTTTAGTTTGGGAGTAATTATGTGGGAGTTTATTTGATTTATATGCAATCTGAGCTCAAATTAACATCTTAGTTTGCATATGTGTAGGTGTGGTTTACCTAGTGCCTTCCCGTCCTCATCGTCATCGATCGCCCGCGCCATCCCGTTGCTGGCACCACCTTGGTAAGGCTCTTGTTCTTATCCTTTTTGTGAAAAAAATTCTTATTTGTATGATTTAGATAGTTGCTTGTATAATTTCTTACTTGTATGATTGTTTGTTATACGTAGTGCCATGGTTTTGATATTCGTCCCCGTTGGCCCTCGTCCGATTTATGATTCGGATGTGGCATAATATCTTTTATAACTATTTGTTGCATTTCATGATTATGACAGTTATGCCCCTCAAGTTGACATAGATATTTTTATCTAGGAGGTATGTGAACTGAAAATTGCAACCGACCCTCTTGTCGAGAAGTTAAATTTAGTTGAAAAAGAAAACGAGTATTTGAAAGAACAATTGAAAATAATTGAAGAAGAGAAGATGAAATTGGAGTTGTATGTTGCCGATGTCGTCGATGATCACAAGATCAAGATGGATGCAATGCGCTTGAAGATTATAAATATTAGAAAATATGCCGTCAATAAAGAGGCTTTGTATCATTATGTTGTTGGATCAGTTATTACCTTAGTTGCGATTTTGATAGCATTAGTTGTTGCATTTAAATGCTTTAGCTAGATAGTTGTATGTTTTTCTGACTACGTACTGCAAGGCAGCAGCCTCACAACTCTTTATTAAATCAAACAGAAAAAGAGAGTACCATAAAACATACAAGGGAGAGGGGGGCTACTTACAAAGAAGGACTAAGAGAGAGAGAGGCAATCCAGTCCAGGAGACTCTCCTTATATTTACATTTGATTCTATGAGCTAAAAGGGAAAGATCATGTACAAAGTTCCTCTTCCAAGACCTGAAACTAGGGGTTTCTGAAAATCAACCCATTTTGTTGTGTCCAGATGTTCCAAGCAACAGTGAAAACCACCTCAGTGAAAAAGGCTTGGAAAATTCCTTCTTGGCAGCATAAGCCATTAGATAGGTTGATTGATTAGGTTGAGGCACCCAAGAAATACCAAGGAAGTTCCAAACACGTTGACTAAAGAGACAGATAAAAAACAAATGTGATCTGTCTTCATGGTCATGAGAGTGACAAAGCACACAAGTGTCATCCTCAATGATCCAATGTCTGTGTTGCATCATGTCCCTTGTATTTAACCTGCCCATCAGCAAGAGCCAGCTAAAGACTTTAATCTTGAGAGTGCAAGAGCACTTCCAAATCCATTTGAAGATCGGGTCCACCACTATATGCGGATGAGCAAAGTCGTAGTAGATTTTAGAGTGATACTCTCCAGACTTTGAAGGCCACCGCCAAATATCATTCTCATTTGGAGATAAATAAAAGTGGAAAATAACTCTTGCAACTGTAAGAATTCCTGATGAGCTTCTGTGGAGAGTGGCAGGTGCAAATTATCTGTTATGTCAGATAGCTGAAAGATGTCCTTGACAGAGAGTAAATCATCAATGACAAATGAATGGAGTCGGGGAAATCTTTCCTTCATAGGAGTGCTCCTGCCATCAAACTGCCATCGATCAAGCCAGAAGATCACTGAGTCACTAGCAAGGACCTGAGGAGAGATCAGAGAACCGAATTTTCCATACAACTTCATTACATCTCGCCACCAAAAGGAGCCACAGCTCTCAGTTGCCTGTGGAGGTGACGCACCATAGTATGAGCTCCATATAAGATTGACCCAATGTATGCCCCTCTTATTAAAGAATTTGAAGAGGTGCTTGATTAACAAGGCCTCATTCAGCATACTCAGGTTGAACACCCCAAGGCCACCACAATTCTTTGGTCGGCAAACCAGATTTCAAGCTGCAAGGGATTGCCGAGGGGTCTCAGAATTCCCTCTCCAAAGGCATTGATGCTCAATCCGTTCAATCTGCTTTGTAATCCCCAACGGAAGCGATAGCAAGCAGGGGAAACATATGGGCATGGAGTTAAGTACTGACTGCAGGAGTTGCAGCCTGCTTCCCTGGTTTAGGAGGCAAGAAGAAGCAGATAACCTGCGCTCAATTCGATCCACCAGGGGCATTAGCTTATAGATTGTTGGCCTCGTTGTACCCATAGGCAAACCCAAATAAGTAAACGGGATAGAGCCAACCACATAGCCGAGCAAACCAGCAAGTCGGACACCTTCCTCATCGGACACATTCAATGAGATTAAGGAGGATTTACTGAAATTAACTTTTAATCCAGTCGACTTGGCAAAAATCTCCAGCATATTTTTTAAGAGCAATGAGCTGACTATCAACCGCAGGCAGGAAGATAAGAGTGTCGTCAGCATAGTGGACGATCGAGTAATCAGAGCAGTTAGATGGGGTAGTTAAACTGACAAAAATTTTTACTGCACATGTCATTTACAATGGACTGAAGAAGATCCACTGCAAGAAAAAAAAGAAGAGGGGAGAAGGGGTCCCCTTGTCTCACCCCACTCTTGCACTGAAAATGTCTGCCAGGCACACCATTCAAAAGAACCGAAGAAGACCCGAAGACAGCAGAGAGCGCACCCAGTTCATCCATCTATCATCAAAACCCTTGCATTTCATGATCCCCAAAATGGCTTCATGCTCTATGGTGTCAAATGCTTTGGTGAAGTCCAGCTTGAGCAACACAATGGGCCGCTTAGAAGATTAGATAGTTGTATGTTGTTTTATGAGAATAAGTGTGTACGAACTTTATGTATGAACTTGCATTAGTTTGGTCT